TAGTCTTGCCAGATGACTACTCACAGGGAACAGTATTTTTTCATAAGAAATGAGCATTTCTGAACTCAGTGAGCCTGAAAACTCCCAGGTGATTTTTTTTCTAGCAAAATCTGAAATACTGAAATGGTGACTAGCTGCGTTTGTATGAAGTGACGCCTTATACCAATGTTACAAAGCAGAGGAATTTTAAAATTGGTAATGAAAAATTTGATTATACATGCAGGGCTTTAATCTTCTACAGTTCTTATTTTTTTGCAAAGTTTCCTTAAAATGTAAAATAAACTTTACACAGATTCAGGAAACATTTAATAATCTTATATGATTTGAAGAACAGAATTCCATATTTATTAAAACAGCCATGCAAGCCACAAAGCCTGCATATTTATTTTTATTTTTTTTGTTAAAAATCTAGATTATGCTCTTCTATTTAAAAGTAGGGAAAAGGAATATATATTTTTTCCTGATATTATGTGTAGGCGTGTGTATCATCGTTTATATATCAGAAATGTATTCAGACACTTTGTAGAGATTTCAAGGCTGTCTTTTTATCTATATTTAATCCTCCCATATTCACTCGGGAACACTTTTGCTCTGCAAAATTCTCTCAGCCTCTTCTTCTCACACACTCTGTCTTTCCATCTCTCTGACACGTCATTCTCAGCAGTCCCCAGTGCCTTGCACTATTTGTGGTGGTGAATACAAGGAGTTATGGAATATTCAGGTGCAGACAATCTTTTGGCATCCCTTAAAAATTGTTTTTTTGCTGTGGGAGACCTACAGTAGACTAACTAGAAGGATACTTTATCACGGAAACAGGTTGGTTCTTGGACTTGTCTGTTAACATGTTCTTGACATATTTTTTGTGCCTAAATTTAAGTCGCTCTCATTGTTCTCAGAAGCAAAATTAAATAAGTTCCTTAATGACAGAAGACTATATTTTTACAGAGAAGGTATACGTTAATGTTGCATCCAATTACCTAGACATAAGAAAATGACTGAAGGGATCTTGTGGATGAGTATGACTAATAAAAATCATCCTCCTAAGGCCCTAAGATGCTCATTGGTGGTGACAGTGGAGCAGATTATTTTTTTTACCACTTTAAGGAAGAATGAAAGGAAATGTCTGCAATTAGGCAGTAAATTAGTTTATTTAGGTAGTTAAGAGCTAAGATGGAAAAAACACAAGACTGTTCAGAATTAGGTTTGATGTGCGAGGAGATAAAACGCTTATGGTAAGTTACTGTAGGCTTCTTAAAGCGAAACCATGTGCTGTTTCTTGCCTCTCTCATTCATCACCTTCACACACCATACATTTCTCCACCCTTTTAGATGTCCAGTTAAGTACTTTACACATTAATGTGTTTTCAGTGCTCTTTCATTGTAATTTAATTATTTTTTTTCATTTATTTTCAATTTTCAATTTCAAATTTTCATTAACCATTTCATTACAAGTTTATCACTTTCAGATATTGAATTAGAATTCATTGAATTGTATTTTTTAATTTTTAGGGAGAAATATGCCAGTTTTATTAGCCATTGATGAGTGTAAAACAGATAGCAGGAACCAAACCCCCCCTTTTTTCTTTATAATCAAGTATTTACCAACCGCTTCGGTTTCCAGGAAGGTAATTAGGTGAAACACTAAGAAACAAATTCATAAGTCCAAAATATACCTAATATATATTTACCTTTAATGTTAGATCATTTTGACAGCATTTTTCACTTCTCCACCAGCTTGATCAGATTTCCATTGACAGTGGCTTAATGGAAGTGTTCACACAGAGCAATCACTAAAATATTGTAAATTCCTTCTTTTGAATGTGAGAAACCTAATTGATCAATTTATTGGTCTATAATTACATAATTTGTTGTAATTGGATACAGTTTTTATTTGTAAATAAGGGAGAATTGCATCAATATCACAACTTCTGTAGTATTAACAACAATTGAAAGCATTCCAAAATATAAATTTCATTCAGTTTCTAAAAGGCTCAATGTAAGTCATGTTTCAGTTACCATTATTACATAATGGAATCACTAAAGTCTTTAAAATTTTTTAATGTTGCTGGAAATAAACTATAAGTTGAAAACTAAAACAACAGGAGTGACTTGTTTAGTCTAGAATTAAATCCAGTCTCATATCAAGTGGAGATAAATAAGTACATTTGCATTTTAAAATGTGTGAATGAAATTGAATAACATGGTTGAACATGGACCAGCACAAAAATTTAAATTAGAATATGTCAATAGGTGACTGGACTGGCGTGTACGGATTAACCTTTTCTCAGATACTTAAAAATGGCTTCTGAACAAACTCCTAAAGTTTGAAAAAGAAAGCCTTATGAAACATCTAATGCAAAGAGGACAGTGGAGAGTGCCTTAAATTTGGAATAAAAAAAAGAATGAACTGCATCCTTGTCTGTCCTGTGATGAACTGGCGTCCCATTAAGGGTGTATCCCGCTTTCTCCTATTGCTTGCCGGAATAGCCTCTGGCTCCCCTACGACCCTTGATTGGATTAAGCAGGTAGAAAATAAATGGATGAAACTACATCTAATTTCATTTGACTACCATTGACTACCATGGCTGAAAGTAGACCATGCAGCAAGACATTGACATACAAGCAGATTTACAGTGGATAACAGATGAATTTGGGATTAAAATTCAAATTCTAGACCTATATCCTATTGAAATTGTATGGCACATGCGATAAAAGCTGATGCAAAAAATGATAGACAAAGAAAATGTTTAGTTGGAGTATTTGGTGCTTTATGAAGTGCCACAAGTTACTGAATCTAAGGGTTAATAGACTCAGTCACATGAGGATATTTACTGTTGGATCAGTTAGTTAATTATACCATAAAGATTTATTTTTTATGTCTTGTATTTTAATACATGTTGTCTTCATTCTTTTATTAAGACTTTCATTATGAACTAATTACATTTCAGGTACTCTATAGAACCTAAATTAAGTGAATTTTTTGGAAAATAAAAATAGAATTAAATTTTCTCAGCCCTAAATGACTCAGATACTCCTTTTTGCATATGAGTCAAAATATGTTCTAAATGATGTGTTTGTTTAAAAAAAGACAAATATACTTAGGCTTAAGAGTAAGGTTGGCTTCTGATGACTTCAGAAAGTATTCACCCCTTGAACAATTGCAAATGTTGTTGTGACCAGAATTTTAAATACATTGAAATCAGTGTTCTCCTTGTTTCACACAAAATAAACACTTTAAAGGGACAAAAATATTATGTAACAAATAATTATGAAAAATATCTTGTTTCCAAATGTCTTAGAAATACAGTATTCATCCCCTTTCAAGAGTCTTTTAGAAGCACCTCTTCCCACAATTACAGAATCACACATTTTACACAACTTACATCTTCTTGGGCATGTCTGTATCAGCTTTACAGATTGGGATTTGTGGATTTTTGCCCGTTCTTCCTTGTAGATTTGATCAAATTATGTCGAATTTAATGAACAGCTGTAGTGAACTGCAATCTTCAAATCCTTCCCCAAATTTACAATGGGATTTAGTTCTGGGCCACTCGAAAAAAATTTCACCTACTTATTCTGAAGCTACTACACTGTCACTTCGGATGTATGCTCGAGGTCGTTGTCCAGTTGGAATGTGAATTCCACTCAGATCTTTTGATGACCGAAGCAGGTTCCTCCCCAATGATTTCCCTGTATTGGCTCAATTCCCTCTATCCTGACAAGTGTCTGAGTACCTGCTGCAGAAAAGCATCCTCATAAAATGTTATCTTGGTGATGAGCTGTGTTCAGTTTGCACTAGACATAATGCTTTTATTCAGGCCAAATTCCTAACTTTTTGTTTCATCAGACTGCAGAATCTTTTACAACATGGTCTCAGTGTCTGCCACATGACGTTTTGCAAACTTCAGGCATGTTATTAGCTTCTGTGTAGCCACTCTCCTATAGAGAGTCTGTACAGTTCTGCAGACATTGTTGTCCTTGGACAAGTTTTCTGATCTCAACCATGGAACTCTGTAGGTCTATCATGGTGGTCATTTGGTCACTTCTATAACCAAGATACTTCTTTCCAGAATACATAGTTCCTGTGAACCGCTTGCTATAGGAAAAGTCTGGATGGTTCTGTTTTTTTTCTTCCAATTCCTAGTGATGAATCTGACTGCTCCCGGGAACATTTAGCACTCTAGATGTGTTTATACCTCTTCCCAGATCTGTGCCTCCTCACAGCTCTATCACAGAATTGTACAGACAGCTCTTTGGTCTTCGTGGTAAGGTTTCTGCTCTGACATGAGCTTTGAAGTTTGTGACCTTATATGGACATATTCCTTCTAAAATCATGTCAATCAATTGAACTGACCACAGGTGGACTTCATTCACATATTAGAGAGACAAGAAAATAAGTTGCACCTCTGCTGGATTTGGAGTGTTAGAGCAAATGGGGCAAATATTTATGGAACTGAGAGATTTTTGTATTTTTAAATTACAGGCTTTCACTTCACAATGACATAAAAATGCCCATAAATATATTTATATTTTATATTTTATTCTATATTGTATATAGAATTATTTTTTCTATTTGAGATTGCTACTAAAAATGCCAAATGCAAATGTGAAAAAATGCATGGGGGGTGAGTACATTCAGGAGGTATGGTACTGTAGGTACTCTTGAATCTTTATTAAAAGACAGAACTCAGCGTGACTACAGAAACTATTGTTTTTGGACTGTTTAATATTTCTATTTGTATCATTCTGTTTATGGTTAGACACTTCAATTGATCAAATTTATCAAATGTAACCTTGTAACTCTTACTTATAATTTACATGGCTTTACTTATTAAACTCTTTATGCTTTAAATATTGGAGTCTCATTACCTATATGTTTTACAAAAATACAGCTGACGGATATCAAGAAAAATGGTACTGACAATACGTGTCTCATTGGGTTTATTTCATCCTTACCTTTTTCTTCACCTAACAAAAATCTATTTTTTGAATCCTGACAGGTCGTACTGCAACTGAAATGAGAGGAGATAAAGGTAATCAACAGTATCTATCTCTGTGACATTTCAAAAAGAAACTGTAAGCAGAAGAGAAGCCCATGCTGACAGCTGAGGAAAGGAGGAGAGTGATGACACTGTTAGGGCTCTGAAGAAGCAAAGCGCAGTTCACTGAGATCCAAGGATGTGTGGCATGATGAAGATCTGTCTACAGGAAAATAAATCAATATTATTGACACATGGGGCCAATCCATAAAATAATTTCAAGCTTTTCATAATAAACGCCACTATGTGTAATTGCCTTCTGTTTGTGTATTTCTTAAAGTGAGACAGTTGTATTTGCTTGTGTTAGTATGATGAGTCACATTGCTCTCTTAATCAGTAATTTGTATCTTAGCATTTTTATTTCTTGTAATTGAAACTATATAAACTTGATATTTGTATTCACAGATTTGTGTAATATCTAACATTTTTTAATGTAATTTCATTTTGAAAAATAAGTCCTAAAACATTTTTGTATTTTTTTAGGGAACAGTAACTATATACAAGAATGGGCTTCCCTATGCATGTTCGGAATCTTAACATGCTTTCTATTTTGATAGAAATAACATGCTTGTGATTATCCTTTAAATAAGTAAAGCAAGAGGAAGATAATGATTTGACTTAAACTAATAAAACTTAAACATTAAGTTAACATAAAAATTAAGCTGCAAAGTTTTTTTCTTAATACTTTGTTTTTAGATTGACATGCAAAAGTATTAAGACTCTTGGACAGGTTTTGTTGCTTTAAACATTGTTGTCATACTTTAGTAGCAATTAATATAAAAAAAATAGATAATATGAAAGAAAAATTGAAAAGTCATGATTGGGTAAGTATTTAAACCATATTCCATGTGAAGCCTAAATTAATTTAGTTAAGTTACAAGCCAAACAATCTGTTGAGTAGCCAATAGTGGTTAACATTATTTGGGAATAAAAACTCTTTTATGGCTATCTTTATAAGGTCCCACAGTCAGGTAATGATTTTCAAGCAAGGATTCAGCCATGAAGACCTTGTATAGAACTAAAAACTATTCATATCACACATGGGTTGTCATCAAAGCACCTAAGTGAATACTGCAAACATGGCAAAAGGATTGTGGTAAAAAAAATACAAAATTGTATCTAATGCAATCTAGTTACATCTAACATAAACCCAAAACAGTGCATCACTCAATCAACACCATCAAGCTGGAGGTAACATCATTATGTTATCGTTCTGCGTTTCATTAGTAGGGACTGTAAAGCTTGGCAAGATTGATATGATCATAGAAGGAATGATGTCCTGGCGCATCTTAAAACTTACAGATGCAGCCATTCAAAATGGGTGGGGTATTTAGCGGCATACCCCGGTGGGCGTGTCGCGGTATCACGCGGTATCACGCGTATCAAGTATCACCTTGTAAGTATCACCTTGTGTTTTACAGGTATCACCTTGTAAAACCGCCAAGGGGAGCTTAACCTCTCATGTACAGCATTTGAGCTTTTAATTTTGAACTGTGTATTACAGCATGTTAATCATCAGTCATT